ATGACCATGAAATGAGTGTGTCCATTGATCGCTTTCAATTCTACCGTTATTTTGTTGGTAAACAAATAAATTGGAATTTTATTTTATTCTACGACAACTGTGTTCGTCGCGTGTGTATAAAACAGAGTTCAATAAAGATGGTGACAATCATGACGAAGATTCAAAACGTTTGCTCGTGAACGAACAATGAAAATCACGCAATGATTTCTGCAAAACTTAACTGTATCACGTTGCCAATGCGTACCGCTCGATCAGTTGCTGGAGAACACCTGTAAAGAATCTGTATCATGTAGAGTGGTCAGCGTTGGGAAATAAGTTGTGCGGCTCAACAACCAAATATTCAGTTCTTATATCATGTGTACGGTCCAAAAGACGATTGTGTCGGTGTTGAAGCGGATAGACCAATGGAAAAAATACTGAATAGAATTTGGGATTAGTGGCCGTTAAGATGTCTGCAGAATGTCACAATGACTTTTGAGGAATCAATCCACTGTAAACTGAGCGATTGTAGGATAGAGGAGTGCAATTAGCACGACTTTACAAAACACGGCTCCGAAAACAAAGGCACTCTTTGAGCACAGCCGACGTGAGAGAAAACGAGCGCAGAGGGCGAATGCATGAGCATCATCCTCCGTTCACTCGACACTGTTGGGCGGAGTCAGATGCATGTTGAACTAGCTTGAGAGACAGACCCTGTCCTGATCTTCGTATGGTGATATTCATATCCCGTTGCTTCTCTTCCAATGCCCACCCCTCATCTTCTCTTTTGAGGTGCAACGTGAGCTTCCATCAAGTTTCTTCCATTTGCTGATCAAGGCACGGATAGATTTGAACAGGCCGGATCGTATCCATGTTTTTGGCATAAATACTGATCGTTAAGTCTTGTAGGCAAACGGCGTTCTCATTCTATCTCATCTATATAAAATTTCAGAAGCTTGAAAAGTATAGACTAAATTACGTCCAAACGACATTCTTTCACATTTGCAAATTTCTTCGCTTTCGTTGCAATGAATAAACGGCGCTGATTACCTGAGTACTGGAAGTCGAAAAGTTGGAAATGAGAGACTTCATGAAACTTCAAGAAAATATTCACTGATTCAGTATGTGCTGGATTTTTGAAATGTGACTATTAGATGTTGTCGAAGTTGTTGAAGAGGATACGATGGAATGGAATGGATCACTGAACTGATTGATTTTATTAGCTTCAGTGACAATTTAAAATCAGAGTTAGTCACAATGATATAAGTTCGAAATGCTACATCACACTAATCATGTGCTTGTAAAGAACGAGTGAAAAAGACTGAAATTCAGAACAATGGTCATACTCATTGATAACATAAGTGACAATAATGCTGATATTAACTGTGATATTGGTAACGTTGATAACAGTGGTTATAAATGTAGATTGTTGGTACATGGAATTTTAATTGCGAGTTAGGATTTCACGATGTATCATTTACATC